AAAAAAAAAAAAAAAAGAATTGCTTTGTAAAAATATAAAAAGGTGTCAAATGTGTAGTTAGGAGGGTTTTCCCCAGGTTGAGTAGTGTGTGTGTAGTTGAGAGAATGTGTTTTGAATGAGGAGATGATCCTTTGAGCAGCAGGTTGAGTAACCATGTGTAAAGCTACCTTCTTCAGAAGGTAGATTCAGTTGCCTATTGGGCTTTAGAGTTAGTTGGTCACTTTCTTCCTTTTTTCAATTATCATTGTAAGCATATTGGTTTTAAAATTTCATTGAGTTTCAATCACTTTGAATTACTGCTATTATTAAACTCAGTCTGGTCCCTCTGCCAACAAGAGCTCCTCTCACTACAAGGTGCCCTCATCTTTTAGAAACCACCAATAATATTTGATGACTTCCTTCTTTTTGGTACGGCACTATGTCCCATACATTTTGCGTATTTTCTACTCCAGAGTTAGTATCAGTCATTTTTCTAGGGAGTCATTTTCTTAGTTAAGAATAATATGAAAGACCACACTCTGAGCACTAAGAGCGCTTCTGTTGTACAGCTTTTGTTCTCTTGATAGGGGATGCAAATTTGGGGCCAAAGCTGTGAATTGATTGGTTTGTAGCATGGCTTTGGCTTCAGATTCTACCATGTTACTCTTACTGTATGACCTTAAGTAAGCTAATTTAATGACTTAAATTCACCTTTGTTTTCTTAACTATAAAGCGAGGATAATAGTTTGAAGAATTTTAAAAATAAGAATTAAATGATTTCTTAGAATAGTGCCTAGCACACATTAAGTATCCCCAAACCATAAGCTGTTAGAATTGAAAATGAGCCTACATGTGGCCAGCAGTGGTCCTTTTCTACCCTGGTCTAGGGAGCTCCCAGCATCTCCTCTGAGTAAATATTGAGAAAATGCTGAAAGAGAACACATTTATGTGAAAGGCCTGGAAATTACAAACTTGTCCTAGGCCACCATCATCCATCGTGTTTCTGTCTCAGCCTGCTTTTGTGCTGTTGATTTCTTGAAAAACTTAGACATCTAGGGACATTTGGGACTTACTAGTAGTATAAGAAATGAGAGATTCTGTGTGTTAATCTCTTTGTATGTTCTCACTGAGAAGATGAAACCACTTCACTTGGGGAAGGTAACATGATAGGGGATTTCTTGCAGCCTCCTTGTCCTTTTACAAAAGTCCGACTTTGAGAACTAGGTTCTCAGAACTGCTAATCTCTGCTTGAGTCCTTTTAACAACCTGACTGTATCTTCTGTACCTTTTCAACGCCTGTTGGTTTTTGCCTCTAGATTTTTGTTTGTTTGCTTGTTTGTTAAAATAGGCTTTCTCTATGTAGTTCAGGCTGACTTTGAACTCTATGTAGCCAAGCCCGACCTTGAACTCAAAGTGATCTTCCTGCTTCAGCCTCCTAATTGCTGGAATTACAGGCGTGCACCACCATGCCTGGCTTGCCTCTAGTTTTGTCCCTGGGTGGGAAAAAAAATTCACATTTTCTCTCAGAAAAGGAATGGGATGTGGAAGAATAACAGTGTTTTAAGATCAGTCATACACTTACTGATGTTTATTATAGATGTTTTTAGATTATGGAATACAAGTTATGTAGAAGTTTGGTTCTTTTTTTTTTTCCTTTGTGCATTCAAGAACAGTATGGTCACATTCTCAGATGTTAGCATATATTGTCTGTTACTTTGTTTTAATTTTTACTTCCAACAAAGTTGGAAATAACAAAAAGTCAGAAATGACTTTTTTCAAGATAAAAATGAGGTTTTAAGTTACACAATTAATACTTTTTATAACATTTTGTGAAATACAGAAGAATATTTGAAGAAATAAAAATTGTCCAAGTACCAACCACTAAAATAGTGACTATTATTTTTCCTATAGGCATCTATCTATATTCTTTATACTAAGTAATATAATTTAATTAGCCAGAAGAGGAGAAACACAAGTTGGAGCTGCAGAGAAATGCACTGTAGTTAGCATCTGTTAAAGAAGCCCTGGGTTGTCTACTAAGTAAACACATCTTTTTTTTTTTGTACCTGGAATAGAACTCAGGACCTTGTGCTTCCC